TACATACATACATACATACACTATATCTCTGTACTGTTCGTTTTCACCGATTTGTATCTACTTGCATATTCATGTGTATCCAGACTACTCCAATTTCGGAGCCCGTCCTGTCGGCGGCGTCAGGCCCATGAGACCACTGAGACGGGGCGTTTGCGGCTGAGCCCTCGGTGCACTCCAGGGCAAAAAGTCCGGTGACAGAAATATATGAGTAGTTCTGTAAATTAGGGTCCCTTTTTTGGGTCCCAAATATAGTACGGCACCCTTATAAAAACCCTAATTTAGAGAACTACCCATATCTACGTGAACGTTTTCGATCTGAAAAACGTGTAAAACAGGGCCAACTTGTACTCCTCAAGGTTCCTCAGTTTAGATTTAACTAGAAGGTACCCGAAACCCTTGTCTAATTATTCAGGCCCCCTAAAGTAGGGAGTTAAGGCGAGAAACCAGGCCGGCTGAGATGGCTGAGGAAGCACAGTTATTGGCTCCATTGGGCAGGGTGCCGGCTCCTTGCAGATGGCGGTTTAGGGTTTAGGGTCTAGGGTTTGATTGAGGACCCTTTGCTGTTCGTTGCTTTGGATTGAGCGCTCTTGTCGTGAGGACAGGCTCTCTTTGGTCCCCACCAGGGCGGTCCTGATACAGCCCCAAGCCCATAGGCGGCTCCAATCCCGGTCCGGGACCGGACACCTCGACGAGCAGTGATCGCACACCGACTGCGATCGGACCACTGCAATGATAATAACCAGAAGCTAGCTAGACATCTTTGCACCACACGTCTAAACTTATGCAAACAGAGCTATCAAATAAATAGTGCTCGAACTTGCAAAGCTGATGCCGGCCCACCTGCAGGTTGGCGAAGGGAAGGGGCCCATGGGGCCCAGAGAGGCGTTGCCGCTCGGGGCTGTAGCTCCGGCTGGCCTCTGTGCTGCACTGCGTCAGCCGTGCGCTGCTGGTAGCCGAGCTTCCTCCCTTCTCGTCCTCTCTGGAGAGACATGGGGGAAAGGTGGTTTCTTCATCAGTTCCGCAGGCTTTGAGAACCCTGCAAGAAACGAGTATGTACATAGAACATGTATGTATATGTACGTGTGTATATGTACGTATGTATGTATGTGTGTATATATATATATACGCATGTACGCATGTGTGTGTGTATGTATGTATGTATGTATGTATGTATGTATGTATGTATGTATGTATGTATGTATGTGTGTATGTATGTCTGTGTAAGGACCTGTGTGTTCTTATGTAAATGCAAATAGTTTAA